TTCACTGTTAGGTAGGTTTTCACTCTTCCCCTCATATTAATTCCTTCCCCTTTCTGGATTTCTAATGACTTTTACTTCTTTCTCTGTCCATGTGTGCTCATAAATAGTTCCAAATTATTAAAGAGTACATGCACAAAGTATATATTTTTCCATTCTTGATATATTTCGCTTAGGAGAGTGGTCTCCAATTTCATCCAAATTGCTCCAAAAGACATTAATTCATTTCTTTTTATGGCTGAGTAGTACTTCATGATGTATATATACCATACTTTGTTAATACACTCATGAATTGATGGACACTTAGGTTGATTACACATCTATGCAATTGTGAATTGTGCTGCAATAAAGATTTGAGTGAAGGTGTCTTTTTGATAAACTGTTTTCCTTTGAGTAGATACTAATAGTGGAATTCCTGAATCAAATTACAGATCTACTTTAAGTTCTTTGAGAAATTCCCATACTGTTTTCCATAGAGGTTGTACTCATTTCCAGTCCCACCAACAGTGTATACGCATTTATTTCTCTTTGCATCCACACCAACATCTATTGTTTTAGGACTTTTTAATAAAGGCCCTTCTGACAGGGCTAAGGTGATATCTCATTGTGGTTTTAATTTGCATTTCCCTGATAATTAGTGATGTTGAGCATTTTTTTAATATTTTTTTCGCCATTTGTTTATTTTCCTTTGGAAAGCCTCTGTTCATGTCTATTGCTCACTTTTTATTTTATTCAGGATATAATGGGGGTGCAAATATTTTGGTTACATGAAATGCAATTGCCTGACTCAAGCCAGAGCCACAAGTGTATCCTTCCCACATACAGTGTGTTTTGTCTCCATTAGCTGTGGGTTTACTCACCCCACCTGCTCTAGCCCCCACCCCCACCCCCACCTGACAGACACCCAGTGAGTATTACTACCATGTGAGCACCTTAGTGTTGATCAGTTAGTACCAGTTTGATGGTGAGTACATGTTCTTCCATCCTTGTGATACCTCACTTCAAAGGATGGGCTCAATCTCTATCCAGGATAATATAAGAGGTACTAGATCACAATTGTTTTTTGTAGTTCAGTAGTATTTCATGCTATACATATACCACATTTTATTAATCCACTCATGTATTGATGGGCATTAGGCTTGTTTCCACATCTTTGCAATTATAAATTGTGCTGCTATAAAGATTTGAGGGCAGATGTCTTTATTACAGAATTTATTTTTTTCCTTTACATAGATGGTGAGTACTGGGATTACTGGATCAAATAGTGTTTCTATTTGTAGCTCTTCGAGGTATCTGCAAATTACTTTCCACAGGGGTTGTAGTAATTTGCAGTGCCATCAGCAGTGTTAGAGAGTTCTAATCTCTCCACATCCACACCAGCATTTGTTATTTGGGGACTTTTTGATAAGGGCTATTCTCACGGTAGTTAGGTGATATCTCATTGTAGTTTTGATTTGCATTTCTCTAATGATTAAAAATGTTGAGCACTTTTTTATATGTTTGCTGGCCATTAGTCTATCTTCTTTTGAAAAGTTTCTGTTCATGTCCTTTGCCCATTTATTGATGGGGTTATTTAATTTTGTCTTATTGATTTTCTTAAGTTTTGTATAGATTCTTGTTATCAGCCATTTATTGGATGTGTAGAAACCAAATATTTCCTCCCATTCTGTAGGTTGTCTGTTCACTTTAATGATAGTTTTCTTGGCTGTGCAGAAGTTTTTTAATTTGATCAGGTCCAATTTACTTATTTTTGTTGCTGCTGTGATTTTTCATGACCAGGTAGGCTTTATCCCAGAGATAGAAGGCTGGTTCAACATATATAAATCTATAAATGTAATTTATCATGTAAATAAAAGCAAGAACAAAGACCATATGATTCTCTCAATAGATACAGAAAAAGTATTTGATAAAATCCAGCACCCTTTTGTGATAAAAACCCTTAGCAAAATAGGCATAGATGGGACATTCCTTAAAATTATTAAGGCCATATATTATAAACCCACATTCAATAATCATATTGAATGGGGAAAAATTGAAAGCATTCTTGCTTAGAATTGGAACCAGACAAGGTTTCCCACTATGTCTACTTCTATTCAACATAGTGCTGGAAGTCCTTGCCAGAGCAATCAGCCAAGAGAAGGGAATTAAGGGTGTCCAAATGGGGGTAGAAGAGGTCAAGCTCTCACTCTTTGCTGTTGATATGGTATTATATCTAGAAAACCCCAGGGATTCCATCAAGAGACTCCTGGAATTAATAAACAAATTCAGTAAAATCTCAGGATACAAAATCAATGCCACAAATTAGTGGCATTCATATACGCCAATAAGAGTCAAGCCAAAAATCAAATCAAAGACACAACACCTTTCACAATAGCATCAAAGAAATTAAATATTTTAGGAATATATTTAATGAAGGAGGTGAGCGATATTTATAGGGATAACTATGGAACACTGAGGAAAGAAATTGTAGAAGATATATGCAGATGGAAATGCCTACCATGCTCATGAATTGGCAGAATCAATATTGTTACAATGTCCATTCTACCTAAGTTTATCTACAGAATTAATGCAATCCCTACCAAAATTCTACCATCATTCTTTACAGATTTAGAAAAAATAGACTGGGTGCAGTGGCTCATTCCTGTAATCCTAGCACTCTGGGAGGCTCAGTCAGGTGGATAGTTTGAGCTCAGGAGATTGAGATCAGCCTGAGCAACAGTGAGACCCCGTCTCTACTAAAAACAGAAAGAAATTACTTGGACCCCTAAAATATATAGAAAAAATTAGCCAGGCATGGTGGTGCATGCCTGTAGTCCTAACTACTCAGGAGGCTGAGGTAGGAGGATCACTTGAGCCAGGGGTTTGAGGTTGCAGTGAGCTAGGCTGATGCCATGGCATTCCAGCCCAGGCAACAAAGTGAGACTCTGTCTCAAATAAATAAATAAATAGAAAAAATAATTCCATGCTTCATCTGGGACCAGAGAAGACTTTGTATAGCAAAACCAATTTTAAGCAAAAAGAAAAAATGGGAGGCAGCAGTGTGCCAAACTTTAAACTTTACTACAATGATATAGTAATCAAAATAGCATTGAAAAACAGAGAAATAGACCTTTGGAATAGAATTGATATCCCAGATATAAAACCATCCTCATATTGTCATCTAATCTTCGACAAAGCAGACAAACATATACATTGGGGAAAAGAATTTCTATTCAATAAGTGTTGCTTGGAAAATTGTATATTCACCTGCAGAAGATTGAAACTGGATTCTCATCTCTCGCCTCTCACAAAAATCAACTCACGATGGATAACAGACTTAAACCTAAGGCATGAAACCTTAAGAATTCTGGAAGAAAATTTTGGGAAGACTCTTAAGAAATCAGCCTAGGTAAAGAATTTATGAAGAAGACCCCCAGAGCAACCACAGCAGCAACAAAATAAACAAATGGGATCTTTTTTGCTATTGTAAAAGGTGTTGAGTCTTTGATTTGGTTCTCATCTGTAATGTTGTTGGCGTATATGTATGCTACTGATTTGGGTACATTGATTGTGTACCCTGAGACTTTGTAGAGTTCATTTATCAATTCTAATAGTGTCTTGGCAGATTCTTTGGGGTTTCTGGATATAAGATCACATCATCAACAAAGAACAATCTTTTGACCTATTCTGCCCCCATTTGGATGCCCTTGATTTCCTTCTCTTGTCTGATTGCTCTTGCTAGGACTTCTAGCATTATATTTCCAATTTCTACATTTATCAACACTATTCTGAATGTTAACATGAAGCCTCTGAAACAAGGTATATTATTATTATAATTACTTATATATTACATATATAGTATTACATATGCAGTAAGTATTTATATACAGTAAGAGTGTTTTACTTATATACAGTAAAGTGCGCTTAGGCTCCCTTTGCTCCAATATTATTCCTGAAGTTATCTGAGGGAACCAGATACAATCTATATGGAACAGGCTTACTGTAGGCAACTATCACAGAAAAATTAAATTTGGGTGTATAAATAGAAGAAAGAGGCAACTGTTCCTCCTCTCCTTGTAGTGGTCTCTTCAGAAATATAATGGGAAGAATCTTGGATCCTGACACTTTGGAATCTAAATAAATGTCTCCACAGGGAGATAAGACTTTTGTCTTCAGCTTATATCTCAAGTAATATTTTCCTACTTCAGGAATATAAATAGGTCTAAAGAGTTTAAGGGCCACAATGTAATAAAAATTGATGTCCCATCTATATCCCTTCAGTAAACTCCAGACCATTTCCAATTAATAGTACTTGCTTCCCTCTGCTTGAATGCTTTTTGTTTGTTTTCTCCTGGAGACTTGGAGGCTATTTCACATAGGCAACAGTTCAGACTGTCAGGGTAATTAACACTCCTTGAGGGCATACCTATGCTATGATGAATACAATTGGAATTAAAAACCCATCTCTCCCGTTCTTAGTGAAAGAGGCATGTCTTTACATTATTTCCCAGAGTTTTTCTGTAAAATTTCATTTTTTAAAAATGTAATTATCCTAGCAGATAGCATTGTCAGAGTGACATCCAGGTGCCGTGTCTGTGTTAAAGGTGAATAAACCATACTTTTTTTTAGATAGTAGGGCTCATGAATAGGGTGTTGACATATGTACACTTTTAAGAAAATTGAGAGCTGACAAACATAAGGCTGCTGTTAGCTCTCAAAATGGAAAATTGTTATTAGTCACCCAGTTTTAAGATCTGAGCTATATCTTAAATCCTGAACCTAGGGATCGAAGTGGAAGACAGACGCCTTTATCAAAGGACTTAGTAACACCACTTGTTGTAAACACTCTCCAAAACAATCTAGTGTCATTTAGTATAACTGTATACTTGGGAAAATGAACATACAAAATTTTTTAATGTGCTATTAGATACTAAGCCTTATCCAATTATAATATCAGAAGAGGAGAGATGTTACCATGGTTCCCTGGTAATAAGGGGAACTTGAGGAACTCCAGAATCCTGGCCAGAATCATTATTTGGGAATGATAGAATGAACATAAAACTCCTGAGTTACAGAAATAAAGGACTGTTAATTACTCAGAATGATGGCAGTAATCATGATCTCAACATTTGCTCCCATTCCTTGAGCTACAATTTCCAGAATGTCATGAAGGCAATAACTGTCCTAGCAGTCGGTTGTTTTTCCAGGAGAGAATCTCTGAGTTCAGGGAACACAAATATTCTATAATGGATGGTAAGCATGACAACCCTTTGTTCCAGAGGGAGGTAGTGTTTGAAGTATAAATATGTAGTCTTTTTACCTTGAGAAGTTAGAGGTCAACCAACTATAGTTGGTACCGTGGCTATAACAAACACTCATTATCTCCCTCCTACATTTTCTCTTTTAAATTTCTCACTTCTTATTTAGATGACTTGCCTGGTGTGTGATTCAGATACTCATCTGCAAAGGATCTGAGGTCCTACTTACCAAACCCTTATAAGGTTGTCCTGTCTGTATTTGTCCTTTTATATTTAAAACTGGGAATGGAAAAAATACAAAACACCCTAGTATATAATTTAAGTGCCAAATATATTCCTCCTTGTCCCCATTATGTAACAGAACGGCCCTATTTCTTCATAAGGATCAAGATCAATGGTCCCTGCTAACAAGGTCATCTTTTCCTTTGTCTGCTGGTCAACTGGCAGAAGGAGCCTATATTGTCTAGTCTGTAGCTGTAGCCTTAAGTTTATTTGGACACTAACTGTATCCTTTTTTGTGGGAGCACTACTTTCTCAAGAAGCAAAGGCATTTAAGCTCTCTAAACCCAAAGTTGTGGGGACAAGAAACACGCATTTCTTCAGTGGGTAACTAGGACTGACAGTGAGGAGGACCATCCCAACTTTTACTGCTACATTCTTCAACTCATCTATTTTACTTATTAAAGACAGAGCACCCTAAAACAGTCATTGATTTAGAGTGTATATGCATCCTGAAGTATAGTACCATGTGCTTGCCAGGTGTAACTGCCAAGCCAGTGCATATACCTTACCTTAGAAAGACTCTTTCTCTGCTATATCAGAATGGTAGCTTAGGAATGGTGTATCATAAGGTAGGACCCATGGGTTTCATGATGATATACCTACTGAGGAAACTTTTTTGCAATAAAGTGAGTCTCATGGTCTGAGGCAATGTCCCATGGCTGCAGATTAGACATCTCTTGAGACCTACAATAGTAGTGTTGGATGAGGCACTGTGACTAAGGAAGGTAAATCTGTAATTGAAGTAAATGTCGGTTCTAGTCAGTATAAATAATTTTCCTTTTCATGGTTGAACAGATCCAAGGAAATCATTTTCTCACAAAGTAGGTGGTGGTCTCCTTGAGGAAGATTCTGTCATGAGGCTCAGTGTTGGTCTCTGTTGTTTGTGAATTAGAAATTCACCGTCAACATTAGCTATTAAGCTTCCATCTCAGCAAACAAGGCTTCTCAGTTCAAAGTCAATTTTACAATCACTGGGGTAGCTGAGGACAGAGACTGGATTACATACATCTACTGACCATGCAATTATGCCCCCTCTTTTATTTATTTACTTAGCATTTCTTTTGCAGGGAGTGCTCTCTAATTGCTATTAATGTGTGATACAAATATCCTACTTTGTTCCTACTGACCAGGCAACTAAGCCATTTTGAACTGTCTGTGAGTCTCTGCATATCTTTAACTCAGGCATCACCTCTCTCCATACCAAATATGTACTACAGGGTGTACTGCCCTAAGCTCTGCCCATTGGGTGGGTTTCTTCTTACCACTGTCTTTCACAGCTACCACTTAGTTAAGCTGCAGAGAAGCTGTACCACATTTTTTGCTTGCATTCATAAATCCAATTGGCACTTAATTTATAAACAGGTTCTAGGAAACCCCTATGAGGAAAAGGGTGGGCGAGACGGAGGTCTTGGTCTACCTGCTTGAGGAGCTTACACATTCCTTTGAAACTTGCATGGGCCACTTGAAAGTATATTGCTTCCAATTTAAAGTTTGCTGCAGGGACCACCTGACCTTAACATTTGCTGGAACCAGCAGTACCTAGATCCTGGTGAACAAGTCTGTCTATTTATTTGATGTGCCATTGTCTGATGCTTAATCTCAGCATTAGTAACATCTCAGAAACTGTTGAAAATAAAAGTAAAAACAGAAAAAAACCTTTTAGTTTAGAAAAGTTTTAGATTTACAGAAAAACTACAAAAATAGCACAAAGGGTTCTTACAGACTCCAGACCCAGTTTCCTCTGTTATAACATCTTACAATGGTATGATAGATTTGTTAAAACTAATGAGCCAGTATTGATATATGTTTATTACATAAAGTCCCTAATTTATTCTGATTTCCTTAGTTTTTACCAAATACTCTTTTTCTGTTCCAGGATCCCATCTAGGATACCACATTGCATTTAGTTGTCATGTCTTTCTAGGCTCACACTGGCCGTGACAGTTTCTGAAATATTCTTTGTTTTTGATGGCCTTAGCAGTTAATAGTGCCAGTTAGATATTTTGTAAGATGTCTCTCATCTGGGACTTGTTTAATTTTTTTTTGTGTGTGTGTGTGTGTGTGTGTGATTAGATAGAACTTAATGTTGTTTTGAAGGAATACCAAAGAGGTAAAATGGTACTTTTATCATAGGTATGATGAAAGATATCATATTATATCGCATCATATGATATCACATCAAAGGTATGATATTATATCATATCATAGGTATGATATTATGTCATAACAATATGACTTGTCACTGTGGATGTTAACCTTAGTCACTTGGCTGAGATATTGTTTTCCGTGCTTTTCCACTGTAGATTTGTTATCTTTCTTTTCGTGCTTTACTATTTGGAAAGAAAGCACTATGTGCATTCCATTCTTAAGTAGTAGGGAACATACTCCATCTCCTGGAGGGCAGAGTATCTGCATAAATTATATGAATTCTTCTGCATGGGAGATTTTCTTCTTTTTCCTCGTTTATTTATATCTCTATGGCTCTGTGTATATGTATTGTATACTTTAGATTATAAGTATTTTATTTTATTGATAAAATTGTTCCAGCTTTCACCATTGGTGGCTCCTTCAGTTGGCAACTGTGTTTCTTTGGCATGTCCCCATCATTGTGGGTTTTGTTTTTAGCATTTCTTTATTTGGGGGCACAAGATGCCCAAAGATCATATCGTGTGTTTCTTGCCACAGTCCTAGAACCAACCATTTCACCAAGAAGCCATAGTTCCTTTTTTATGGAGAATGGTATTAGAAACCAATATCTGTGTTCTAGGTGTGTCAGTTACTACTGGAGTGTCATTGTTTCTAGGCCATCTTGGCCGCTAGAGCAAGGGGATCTATATGTGTTTCCTACCTGGGGCATATATACATATCTACAACTATGTCCATATGTATATCTACCTGTATGTCTATCTACCTACATTAAGCTAACGTTGAGTTCATGGTGATGTCTTATACACTAATACATTACAACATAAATCATTCTATCCTTCTCCCCTTGCAGACTACTTCTCAAAGGGTTATAGCTCCTTCCTGCAGACAGCAAATCCTTTCTTCAGAACCATATGGGTCTGTGTTGTGACTTGCAATTTTCACATTGAATTTTTCCAGACAGTTCTACATAGCATTGTGGTTTTTCTTTTCTCCCTACCAAGCACCCATCTAGTACTATGTGTTCTGCCGGCTCCTGTTGCCCTGGTACCAGTGCTGCTTGTTCACAGCTTGGACTTGGGCTTGACATGAAATGCTTCCCCCCTCCTCCTTTGCAGGCAACTTTAACCAGTAGATTAGAATTATCTGATATAGGTTGTGGGAATCTTAAAAAGTGTGGGATATGTTGACTCCAAGATCTGAAGATAACTACCAAGTGTTCTGCTTCTTTTTAGTGGTAGATGCTACATGGTACAAGATATTTTTTTATTGGTTGGATGCCCTGGCAAGGCCTAACACTCTAGACCTCTAAAAAGTTCCTTTATTGGACATGCCTTTGAATCTTGTAGGGTTTATCTCTCATTCTCGGTTCCCATATGGACTTGGGCTTAGCAAGTAATCCAGAGCATTTGCCAATTTTTTTTTTTTGCCATTTGGGTCCAATTAACATGACATTATCAACATTGTAGACTAATGTGATGCTCTGAAGAATGTCAAGATGACAGAACAGAAGCAGGAGAATAAGCACATTCCTAGAGCAAGACAGTAACTATATAGTCTTGTCCATCCCTTGTGAATATCACCAGCCTCCATTCCTCCTTTCCTAAACCTATTGGGAAAATAAAAAAGCATTAGCCAAATCAAATGGCCGCACATGCCAGAGGCTTGGTTAATCCATTTCAAATATGACACTGCATCTGGAAGATGAGATACCACATCTGGCATAGCAATTAAAATTCTACCGCTTGGTTGTTTGTTGGCAGTCAATGTTATCCACCATGATTTATCTGTATTTATAGGAGCTAGACTGCTGAATTAAATGAGACGTATCCCAAGTAAAGCATTCCATCCTTTAAGTCTTTGAGAGTCACGCTAATCTCTACCTTTTCTCACAAAATGTGTTATTGCTTCTGAAAAGATGGAGAGATTTCAAGGGTTTCTATTTTGTCTTTCCTTTTACAATGGCTCTTACTCTATAAGCTAAGGAACTATAAGTAAAGATTCTGCCTACTGTTAAATATAATCATTTTGATGTTATATTCAGTAACCATGGACATGATCACTGGACAGAATTCATGACTATGATGGATAAACTGTAAGACAGCTAACTTTTAATATCTGACTCCCCCCAACTTTAACAGGCGATCATGGTGACATTTTGTGTTCTTGGTTCAGTCAGTAATTGTCAGTGGACTGCCCTTGGTGAAGGGGTGGCTAAGGAAGAACACAAATTCTCTTGAAAAGGTGGCTCCTTTACAGCCATGTGCTGAAAAATTCTCCAAAGAAAGGGGTAGACGTAAGTCATTTTCAACCAACACTAAACAGAAGCTTGAGAATGGGTATCTGGGCATCAGTAACATCTTCTATTATACATAGGCTAAAAAAATACCTAAAAGCTATGACAGATTTCTTTTTTACCTAAAAAACAATTATAAGTTTAACCTAAAAAGTAAATAAATGAGTTATTAAGGCCTTAAAATTCCAAATAGTACAACACAAAGTATTTTAGCGTAAGAGGAAACTATCAGAAATAAAGTCACAAAATACACCCCTAAATATCTATTTATTTTATTGCAGAATGTTATCAAACATACAATTATCAAATTTGACATAGTTGTTTGCCACAAAAAAATACTTTTGGTTTTGAAGGAGTTGAGGTCAGGGGATATTTTCTTTTTACTTTTTTAAAGACTTTTTTTGGTATGATAAAGACATATTTTTTGAAATATATTACCATTATAAAGAATACTTTTAAGCACGGTGGCTCACGCCTGTAATCCTAGCACTCTGGGAGGCCGAGTCGGGTGGATCACTCAAGGTCAGGAGTTCGAAACCAGCCTGAGCAAGAGCAAGACCCCGTCTCCACTAAAAATAGAAAGAAATTAATTGCCCAATTAAAAGTATATAGAAAAATTTACCCGGGCATGGTGGTGCATGCCTGTAGTCCCAGCTGTTTGGAAGGCTGAGGCAGGAGGATTGCTTGAGCCCAGAGTTTAAGGTTGCTGTGAGCTAGGCTGATGCCATGGCACTCTAGCCTGGGCAACAGAGTGAGACTCTGACTCAAAAAGAAAAAAAAAAAAACATGAGAATGAAAGTTGTGGTTCATACTCTTGAAGGCTCAGAGTTTAATTTGGGTCCTATAGCATGCTGATCAGAAAGCTTAGACTATGAGACTATATTGAATATTAGATGACTATGTGCCTAGTTGTGTGTTAGTCAGAATACTTATTCTGATCCTCCTACCACTTTGGCTGAGAGAGTGTTATTTTCTAATATATAAAATTGTACTAAATATGACAAAACATAGACATTTATGTATGTGACCCCACTAACTCTGCCATACAAAGGCATTGAAATGATCATGTAAAATTGACATAGTATGTGTAAGTCTTTGAAAGTTGTGCCTATTTATTCTTTACGTAGTTTAAGTTAGTAACCAAATTGGCCAGCTGTCTGGATTTGCTTTCTTTTTAAGATGTATGCCATACACATGTTAATATGGCCAAACCTTCCTTTTTCCAATTTGCCTGATTTTTGATTCATGTGCAAAGTTGTGAATCAGACTGAATCGCCTAAACGAATCCTCACACTCCCCCAAACTTCCTGTGTGTTTGCACCCTGTCTGTTTGAACGTTTATATTTAGAATTCTCAAACATGCCCAGGGAGTAAGAAATATACAACAGAAACATCTGTTCCTCTTGGCAAGACTATTTCATGCTTTTTTACTTTTGCAGGGTCAAGAAAAATACCTAGGGATCATTTTTATATCTGAGAGGCTTAACATTTCTTTTTTTTTTTTAATTTTAGCTTAAATGCAGTGATTTAAACATTCATACACACACCCACACACACACACTCAAGAGACAGAAAAATATACACAAATGATGAGATCCATAGAAACAATTTTTTTTCTCCTGTTTTTCAATATATGATTTCTCCTCAGCAGTGTTACCAGTTTTTTTTTTTTTTTTTGAGACAGAGTCTCGGTTTGTTGTCCAGGCTAGAGTGAGTGCCGTGGCGTCAGCCTAGCTCACAGCAACCTCAAACTCCTGGGCTCGAGCGATCCTTCTGCCTCAGCCTCCCGAGTAGCTGGGACTACAGGCATGTGCCACCATGCCCAGCTAATTTTTTATATATATATCAGTTGGCCAATTAATTTCTTTCTATTTATAGTAGAGACGGTCTCCGCTCTTGCTCAGGCTGGTTTTGAACTCCTGACCTTGAGCAATCGCCCGCCTCGGCCTCCCAAGAGCTAGGATTACAGGCGTGAGCCACCGCGCCCGGCCTTATGGAGAGAAAAGTAACCACTCTTGACCTATCCCATTTATCTTTGGGCTGCCCCATCCCTACCTTCCCTCAACCTACCTTTAGATTTTATAAGCATGAAGGAGACATTTCTAAAATAAAAGCAAATTTTCCTCAATGCCAGCTTATCTGGTTGCTCCTCAGTTAGCTAAGGTCAAAACTGTAAAGCTTATTTATGCCTTTTGGCAAGTCTGGAGGCTGAATTCATGTTTTAGAAAAATACTGTAAAGGTCAGAGCTGAATGTGGTGTGGTTCCTGTTAGTTCTCACTAGGCCAGACCTCAGGCACACATTTTCCATTTCTAACAGCCTTTTAGGGGATGCCTTAGGGAAAGAAATGATCATTTTAACATCTCTCCTCTCTGTCCAATGCCCTCTTAAGAAATTCAAAATCCACCTAAGCCTGGGGGGCCAATTAATATTTTGAAGGTAGAGGATAACCCAAGACACAATGAAGCCTTTAATATTATTATTTATTTTACATTGAATACCTCTAACATATTATTGTCTTTTGCTTTATAGAAATAAAATTGCTGCCAACTATGCTGGGAAATCATAAATGTCTTGCTAATCGGGAAGTGGCTTTAAGTGATAGAAGACATGAAGATTAACTTAATTGTGGTATGACTAGACATCTTAAATTGCTAGATGTACAACTGCTAGGTTTAAGAACAATTAATCCAAAGTTGACCAAAGTTGTAGGGTTTTAAGTAACTGTGAGAGGGTATACCAACTTTTATCATCAGAGTGAACTGGGTCTGTCATTAAAAACCCTAGCTCTAGGAAGGACATTTTTAGAATGTTTCTTACTGTTAACAAAACTGAGATAATCTTTGTGTAGCAGCTAGCACATTACTTGTCACCCAGTAAACATTCAGTTTATGGTGATTAGTGGTGATTTTTATCAGTTTCGGGGCCAAATTTCTTGAGTCATAACTGTCCTGTATGAGGAATATGATTTTTTTTATGATTAAACTTAATTTTGAACCTCTGTTCTACCAGATGCTAAAAATTAAATTTTAGTAAGTTGTTCTTCACCTCAGTTCATAAAGTTGCTTCTCTTAGGGACTTAAGTAAGGCCAAGACCAAGGCCAATGCTTGGGAGGTGAGATATATGTAACAAAAGTCATAACCATGTTTTTATGATGGTTTCTACCATGAAGTCCTCATTCATTTCCGCTTATTGGAGGTGGGTCCACAAAAGTCATTGGTTCATTTTGACAGACTGCTTCATCTTGTCACAAGACCCTTTCACATCTGCCACATTACAGTGCCCTATTTATGATGCTTTTAGCTGCTGAAGAAAACATTTTTAGGCTGCATGATTCATGTTGGGTGCAACCAGGGCTTCTATAAAGTTGTCTCAGAGCTGACCACCTAGAGAGTTAGTGTAGAAATTTCTCATACTCTTACACTAGCCTAGGAAGGGCAGGACTCTGATTCAGTGAGCCCTAACTGAACCACTTTTTAAATTTCCCAAACTAAACTTCGTCTATTGCTCCCGTCTTCATCCCAGAATTTGTATATAAAAGGAAAAACATCCCTTCTATGAATTACCAGCATCTAAACTCTTGCTTTATTTCTTCCTCTTTCACCTTTCAGGGTTAACTTTATCTACTCTCATGGGTGGTGGTGGAAGTGAGGGAGCAAGAAGCATTATAAAAATTATTCTGATTGTCCATTGAGTTTTCCATTTTGTTATCACAAATAACACAAAAAAAATAATTTCTAAATTATTCAGGATTTAAGATTCTAATACTCAAAAGTTTTGGCTTTTGAAATGAAAATATTTTTTCTTGTCTTTTGCTGTGAATAAATAAATAAACCCTCAGAAAGAATGGGGGAAAAGGTAAAAGCCAAATTGAAACCTTGAAATATTACCCTGCTCCATTTGTATCATATTTGATGATGGCTACCATTAAAGTTTCCCAGAAAGGGGGTCTAGTGCGATTACTGTGCGCTTCAAATGATACCTGCATGTCATGCAGAACCATCTGTCAACCAGGCCTGAGTCTTCTCTACCTGTGTCAACTGATCCTAGAAAACACCCCAATGAAGCCATAGGTGCAGGCTAGGAGACAGAAGGCAGAATAGGAGGAGTGGAGACCATGGGTATGTGGGCCACTTATTCATGTAACTTATTTGGGCCTTCTGGAAATGCTTGGGCCCAGTCATGTGTATGCTGCTTACATTTGCTGGAGTGTTGCTGTGTGTGCCCAGAACTTTAGGTCCTGGTGGCTTAGATAATGCCCAGGTTAAGATGAGTAGCTCAGGTGATGTTTTAACTTGAAAGCCTAAGGTTAAGCATTCAGTCTCTACTAAGCTCCAACAGCAGGTCAAGAGTTGTTTCTCAAAAAGAGAATAGTTGTCTGTGGAGGATGGGAAGGCTTTGTTCTGTAATGCAAAGAACCTGCAACGTGATTCACCTGTAGGAGCCTGCCAAAGTCTCCAAAACATATCCCTGTTATTCACAGCCACTTCAAACACCATTAGATCTGCTAGACCACATGGCCCAAGTGGCAGTGCTGCTTGCACAGCAGCCTGGACCTGTTGCAGATCTTTCTCTTATTCTCAACATCATGCAAAACTAGTAGCTTTTCAGGCCACTTGGTAAATGGGCCAACACACTGATTTACCTGGTCATGCGGTAAATGGAGTGACACACCTAAATAAGAAATACATTGCTTCCAAAATTCAAAAAGAACTACTAAGCATTGTGTCTCCTTTTTGACTGTAGGAGGGTCCAGATGTAATAGCTTATCCCTCACCTTAGAAGGAGTTATCTTGATATGCCCACACTATTGGATCCCTAGAAATTTAACTGTGGTTTAGGCCCTTAATATTTGTCAGATTTATTTCCCATTTATGACATCAAATATCTTAAAAATAAGTCTAGAGTATTTGATACCTCTTGCTCACAGCACAGTGTTATCAATGGGATGAACTAGGATGATGTCTTGTGGAAGAGACAAGTGATCAAGATGCCTTCAAACTAAATTAAGACATAGGGCTAGAGAGTTGATATGTCCCTGATGTAGGAAAGTTAAGGTATATCTCTGGCTTTGCCAGCTGAAAGAAAACTGCTCTGTAGGGCCTTGTAAACAGGAATGCAGAAAGAGGTATCAAGAAAAAATATTTGTCAGATTAATAACTGCATACCAGTTCCCAGAGAATGTTTTAATCTGCTCAAGCAATGAAATCACTTCTGGTACAGAAGTCTCAATTGAAGATACGACTTGGTTAGGTTTATAATAATATACTGTAACATTTTAAGATCATTTTTCTTCTCCAAAGGCCAAATAGGCAAGTGGAATGGTGATGAAGTGGTAATCACTACCCTGCATCCCTGGACTCCTTGATGGTGACACACTAGTCTTTGCAATTCTTCCTGGAATACAGTGCAGATGTTCCTCAACTAATGATGGGGTTATAGCCTGATAAATCCATCATAGTGAAAAAATAATAAGTTAAAACATGGTAAATCATGAACTGTGTTACTTTTGATTTAATACTTCCCTAGGTAGAGCCAGGTCTAGTGGCTTCCCTTGGTCTTTCCCACCATATTTAATTTCCTTCATTCCATAGATAATGCAACAAATGTAGAGATTCTTCCAGAGGCTGAAAATATCTATTCTAGTTTTGCATTTTGGAACTGGGGAAATAATCACTGGATGGTTTCAGGGACCCAATATGCTCTCTGTCAGAAAGGTTTAAGAGAAAACTTTATTGATCAACTGAACTTTGTAAGCCCTTACTCACATGGACAACAGTGGCATTTTGGATCTCCTGGAATCAGTGTCAGTTCAGAGACAGTGTACAGAAGTCCCTGAAAGTTCTCAATTATTTTCTTTTCCCCAGTGAATAGGTACATGGTAAAAGGCCGTAGGTCCATTTGGGTAAGGATTATGGTTAACAATATAAATTTTCAGTAGTACAACAGGGTCCTTTTTCAAGAGAATCTGGTGTTCAAGGAGTCTGGGTCTATAAACTGGTGCAAGTCTGAGAACTGTTTTTGTGATTCAGATTAGACTTTTGCTCACTTGATCTGGAATTCTTCTACTTTTACAGATCAAGTAGGAATTTAGTAGGCTTCCTATATATTTCACTTCTGGGAACACCATGAACAATTTGTCAATGCATAGTCTGCATAAGTAAAACTATTCTGATTGCTGCATTTCCTCTGCTGTTCATTATAGTAACAATATCCGCCTTTCTTTTGGTAGTTGAGTGCCAGTAATTGGCCCCTAGCACCTTGGTGACCAACCACTCCATTGCATTTAGATTTCTCAATTCAGTGGTTGTTGTTTCCACTGTAAGTTCTGGCTTACAGATAGGAGTAATCACAGAGCTCTTCCAGGATGCCAGGACCCCCTACACAAATTTATTTCTCATAGTGTATTTTCTGGAGGCTCTCAATTTGGATCAGTAAGTCTTCAAATACAAATCCACTCTAACATTCCAACATTTATAAGCTTCTGAATCTCTTCCTCTACACAAAACAAGGAAGGTCTAACATTTCCAATTTGCTCACTATGGGTCACAATTTGGTCTATGTTTCAACCAACCAACCAAACATTTAAGCTCATTCTTACTCCCCAAGCTGAAGCAGTAAATGCAGAATCTCTGCTTAATGAGGCCATATTCATAAATTTGTCCTGACACACCTTTATGTTCTTTCCACCATTATCTTATATTTTTATTATATGTTACGCACATGTTCCCATGACTTCTGTCTGTATAAGTTAGAAAAACCAAGTAGCTATTTTGGAGTCTAATACACCTACTCCTATGTTATACTTTGGACCTCATGTTTAAGGGATCAGCAGGAATATAAAAGTAACTAGCTTCAGGTCTAGAAGGAGGAGAGTCAGCTTTGTATTGCATTGGAAAAGCCTCAAAGAAGTCCATTACACTTTCCTCAGGTAATGCAAGGGTAAACCCCTTAGACAAGGCTGGAGAGGCCAATACCACTGGAGCAGGGGGGAGGATCTTCTACTAGAGTTAAGGAGGTTGCTTCCACTGGCAAAGATGGCTTATCAGAATTTAGGGGCTCAATGTCCCAGCTCCATCAGGGTCTTCCCACAAATCCCCATCCCAACTCACAGGATCATATTCTTTCTCAATCAATGTCCTCACTTTAACAGTATACACTCTGTGAGGCTGGGAGTTCAACTTGCATTGTAATTCAGCCAGTGGAAGGATGAGATTCTGTGCTTAATTTTCAGCAATCTCAGCCCTGTGGATGCAGTAGATAAAGATCTCCATGAGGACACACAGAAAGTTTTAGGTCATTTGTGGAGCACTTTCGTTGGAAATTTGAATCCCCAGGTTTATTCTTTTTTGTCATCACTGATCTCCAAGATCTGAAGATAACACCAAGTGTTTCTGCTTCTTTTTAGTGGTAGGTGCTACATGGTACAAGATATTTTTTTAATTGGTTGGATGCCCTGCAAGGCCTAACACATCCTAGACCTCTAAAAAGTGTTCCTTATTGGACATGCCTTTGATATCTGTAGGGTTTATCTCTCATTCTCGGTTCCCGATATGGATTTGGCTTAGCAAGTAATCCAGAGCATTTGCCAATTTTTTTTTTTTGCCATTTGGGGTCCAATTAACATGAC